TAGGTTGAATCCTGTTCACCTACTCCTCTCTGTTCAGCTTGTACGAGTGTCTATGTATCCACTGTAAGATTACTGTTTTGATTACCATTACTGCAGGATTGAATATATAACATTACTTAGTTCCCTTGTCCAGCTTACTCTTATACACCAAACAGACAAGGAAACTAAGTTGTATTACATATTCAATCCTGCAGTAATGGTAACTGAAACAGTGATACTGGGCTGATCTCCCCGATTGTATACTGCCTTTGCATCCACCTAAATAATATACAGCTATATACAGTTTATGACATCCCCTTCCTCTCCCCTCCTAACCCTGGTAACCATCAGGAATGCTTCCATCGTTTTGCTCCTGTGAACAATGCTGTGGTAAACATAGGTGTGCACATATCAATTCACGCCAGAGTCCTTACTTCTTTAGGAAATATATCTCACAGTGGGGTTGCTGGACCAGATTCCCAGCTCTGTCAGGAAGCACCGTCTCGTTTCCACAGTGGTTCTTCCATTTTACAGGCTCGGAGCCCCATTGCCTCTACATCCTCACCAGCACTGCTTGCTTTCTGATTTACTGAACTTTGCTACTATTGATGGTGTAAGATGGTATCTTGCTGCTGTTTTGATTTGTATCTCTCTCTAATGGCTGATTTCTTCCTGTGTGTTGGCTACATGAATGCCTTCTTTGGTGAAGTCTCTGTTCATGCCTTCTCATTTTTAAATTAAATTGTTTGTCTCTCTGTCATTGAGGTGCTTCAGTATTTCTTAAATCTTAAGAGATTAATCCCTTGTCTGATATTTCATTAACCTGTCTCTGGGTTTTGTTTTGCTTTGTTTTTTACGCTTTTGGAGAAGTCTTTTGATTTATACAGTGTATAATTTTTATGAGGTCCCTGGCCAATCTCTGCTGTTTGCGGATTTGGGGGTATGGTTGGTAGACTGTTTGGCAGACTACTTATGCCATAAATTAGGGCCCCCTAGGTTTGCCCCCATTTTTTCTTTGATTATCTCATTATTCTTGATAGCTGGGGCCCTAAGGCAGAACCAAAACGCATCCCAGATGAGCAACAAGAAGTCCACTACAGCTAAAGCTAAACGCATCACTTATCAAAGGTGCAATTCAACCACAGAACAGTCCTTGAGACCCTGTAATGCTGAGCTCATCAACCCAAGTTAGCAGGGTCCATTTCTGAGGCTAAAAGGCCAGTCCTCACTCTGAACACCACCACTACAAACCCACAGAACTGGTGGTGGCTGGCTTAACAGAAGGCTGCCGTTTTCTAAGGAGATTCCACCTCAACATCTTTACAAGGAACCATGTTTTCCTCAAACCTCCCAAGACGAGCCTTTCACAGCAAGCAGGAGGCAGAGCTACTTGTATGTCTTTGTCTTTTCAGAGATTCTGACAACATGGTGAGAACAGTACGTCTTTCTACCGTGTAAATACTTTATGAATGCCTTTTTGTAAACCTTCCCGTCAGAGTGAATTACTCTCCAGAGCAATTGTCTGCTCCATTGTAGCTGGTGGCCATTTGAGCCCCCAAATAATGCTATAATTGGATTTGCCAGGGAAAATGTAAAACAGAATGAATCTAATTCAGGCATTACCAAGAGTGAATGTGACGGGCCCAGGCATATATTTCTTTTCTGTGTTTGATACAACTAATAACTCAGATTAATCAATTTCCCTCGGGGTGAGAGTGGGAGGATGCAGGGTAGATAAGAGACAGGGTGAGAAGAGGGGAGGGAGGAGGGAGAGGGAGGAATGGAATCATTCTCTTTACCTTGGCAACAGCAGAATACTTAGTGCTTTGGAAAGACAGATGTCCTTCTAAGGTAGAAAAAAATAAGAACTAAACTGGGGGTCCAAGGACTCACAGGTTGTCACTGGCTGGCGGGGTGGCCCCTTGAGGGAGTTATTTCATCCTTCTAGAACTCATCTCTGCAAATGGGAGTCACATTAGCATCCATGCCCATTTCAGAGTTTATAACATTAAACCGATGTCATTTAAAAATAAAACTGATGATAACCAAAACATCTGTGTTGAGTGATGCACTGAGCTATGGCCTATTCTTTACATTGCGTCATATAACCTCACAATCCACGGCCCTATTTCATTGGCTAATTAAGACCTAGAGAGGTGAGTGACTTGCTCAAAGTCACAGAGCTAATAAATGAATGAGCTGGGACCCCTTCCCAAACAAAAACAGGCTTTTCATATGGCACCAAGTTCCTGCCAAGGTATACTCTTCATGAAATGAGGGCACTAAGGAAAGCCGTCCAGGATATACTCTTCAGTGAAAGGGGTATGGATCAATGGATACAGGAAATGCAACCTTTTGGGTAAGGAAGGAAGAGAAAAACAGATTTTATAGCTGCACCAAGAACCACTGTAAGGCTACACAGGAAAACTAACAAAAGTGAGAAGAGAGGGAGGAGAGGGTTAATCAGTATAAGGTGGAAAGTGATTTCTTAATGCAGACCATTTTTTATCATTTTCAGTTTTGATTCATGTGGATGTCTTAACCATGAAATTTAAAACGTTAACAAGTGTGATGATGGGAAAGGAGGAAGGTAAAAGGAAACAGAGCAAAGATCTAGGAAGCAAAGCATGGATAGAGGTATAAACATAGGTATGGACTTACGTAAATATATTAATTCTTTAAAATAGAGGTACTGGCATAGGTACATACATTTATATGGCAATACATTGAGGAAGTGGATGGGATTTGGGGCCTCTGCTCAAGCCCTCCCTCAATACAAGAACACTTTGTTCTAACAATCTGGCATTCTGTGATGCTCACCCTCCCAGCACAATCACTGAAGACAAAGTGAGTGCACAAGCAAATGTGGTGAAGAAAGCTGATGGTGTCCGGCTATCAAAAGATAAAGTACCTGGGGTCTTAAAGGCTTGAAGTTAAACAAGCTCACAAAGAAAAAGCACAGCAGCCTGTACGGACATGAGGTGTCAATGGGATCAGTTAACAGGCATCAGAAAACCCCAACAACAAAAAAACGTATTGTTGAGAACGAGGAGGTCGGAGCAGAGACCCAAACCCATCTGTAGACAATGGGACATTCCCTCACAGACGGGTCGCAAGGAAGGAATAAGTCAACCAGGGTGAAGTATAGCCCTGATGAAACACACAATATTCCTCTGGTTCCTTGAGACTTCCTCACTCCCTACTATCATAACCCCAATCCTGTCTTTCACTGCAGGCTTGGCAGGAGCATGTACACAGGTACAGGTAAGAGCTCGGGACACATGGAATCCAGGTCAGATAAACCCATCAGCAACAGAAATAGTAGCAGTGATATCAGGAGGGAAGGGGGAAGGTCGGAGAGAAGGTGGGAAGAAATGGAGGGGGAAGGAAGACAGCAGTCAGTGTAAGATATGAAATTAATAATAATTTATAATTTATCATGAGGATGGAAGTGGGGAAGGACGGTAAAAAAGGAGCTGCTACCAAGGGCTCAAATAGAAAGGAAATGTTTAGAAAACAATGATGGCAACATATGTACAAATATGCTTGATACAATTGATGTATAGATTGTTATAAGAGCTGTAAGAGCCCCCAATAAAATTATTTTTCTTAAAAAAAAAGCTAAATAAAAGACAGGAAAAGAAAGTAAAGATCCAAGTGGATATCCAATAAATAAATAAATTCTTCATGGAAAAGCACACCTCATTCAGAGCAAACTTTATGTAGGAACATGAGCACTCTTTGATTGGCAAGAGATATTAGCTGTTTTTATAATCCCCAATTGATGGGGAAAATACTGCCCTGTTTAATTTTTAAAATGCCTATCTGTTTTTCTCTGTAGTCAAAGGAGGACTGGCAAGCACAATGCAGGCAGCCACAGACTGGCAAATTGCTCCATCGACTGAGAAATGAACAGTATCCACAGCTGCCTCGGTCCCAGGGACTGTGGTGCACGGTGTGTGTGTGAGTTCACTTACTTCCTTCTCCCCATGATCTGACGCCAGCAAATACTGTCCCAGTTTTACGGAGCGATTACAGTGAGCACCAAGTCACCCAGGACATAGTGGCAAACCCAGGATTGACACTGAGGTTTCCCTGGCCGTAGGCCGGTCGATCGTCTCAAGACCCAGACGGCAAATCTAGGTAAACACTTCCCAAATGAAGCCCTCAGGCTTGCCGCTTTCTGCGGCCATCCTTACCTTGATCGAATTCAGACCCTTGCCGTTCCAGCTGTTTCCGCAGTTTCTCATTTGTTTTAATAGAGTCCTCTAGACGTTTTCTCAAAGTTCGAATTTCTTGTATATGTTCCATTAGTGAGTCTACAAGGAAAGAGGGGTATGTTAAAGTCTAAGTCTGAGGCCCTCGACAAATGGAATAATTTATAGACCGTGCAGGAAGTTTAAAATTCCAAAGAGCACTGCCGTGTGCTGAGCGAGCCAGCAACTGGCAAGTCTTTCCCAGGAAAGGGGAGGCTGAGCGATTCCTCAGCAAAAAGCCCCGGTTCCGTAATGATGTTCTGTAGCCCTCCACAAGGAAGATATTTTACATCACACGGAAAAATTATATTCAATGTAATTTTAATGCTAGCTCTAATGTAGCCTTTATTCTTCTAAATATCAAATATTAATTCAAAACCTTCCTTATGGTGAAACTAACAGATCGCTTTCAAGCCGGCTTGAAGTGCCTGAGAGTTAATTAAACCACATTCATGCATCCAGATATTTTCAAGGCTAACTCTTTGAAAAGAATATGGCAGGTATTCATCCCTTACTAATCTGAAACTTACAAAAACCCAAACAGAAATGCCCAGACTAGTGAGGATGCTCAGTGCTCACAAAAACCCACCCCGGTAGTGTGAGTATACAGGTGTATGGCCCTCGGGACTATTTTTATCACTAGCCTTGCATAGGTTCTCTCCCAAACATTTTTACCAAATAATTCTCCTTCCCGGAATCCAAAAGGAACTCTGGTGGCAAAGTGGTTATGCATTTGGCTGTTAACCACAAGACCTGCAGTTCAAAACCACCCGCCACTCTTCAAGGGAAAGATGAGGCTTTCTACTCCCATAAAGAGTTAGTCTCGGAAACCCTCAGAAGCAGTTCTACCCTGTCCTGTAGGGCTCCTGGGAGCAGGAATCGACTTGATGGTCGTGAGTTTGGTTTGGGAAGGAATCTGTAGAAAAAGGTCACCAGACTTGCTGACAACTATTTACCTGAAAGCAAGAAAATGTGCTTCTTCACATTATATGTACCAGGAAAAAACTGAAAATAGCTCAAATTGTTAAATAAAGTATAGCACATCTATTATGAAGCAGCATTGCACAGCTACTCAAATTACATTATGCAGAAGACGTAATGCCAGGGAAAAGTTTTCATGTTATTATGTTAAATTTAAAAATAGATATAAAATTGGTTATTCAGAATAATCACAACTCTATTTAAAAATTTGCACAGACAGGAAACCCACACACACATACAAACACACAAAGGAAATAGACCACAAGATTATCAGCAATTGCCTCTGGGTGGTAGAGTTCAGATTTGGAAGAAAAGACTACAGTGCATTTTCATTTTCTACAATGAGTACGTACAGTTTTGTTCAGCCCCCACCCACCTCTGTCTCGAACAAAGGAAGAGGGAAGCACAGCGCTGATCTCGAGGTAGGTTTCTCGAGTCACTGTTTAAAACATAACCACATTAAGTATCCAAAGACAAAACTAATGTCTTTAATTCATCAATTAGGGTGCACCCAGTATGTCTTAGTAATGTTTGTTTTAAAACATTATACTAATGTTATGACCTAGTTTTAATTCCTCCAAAATGACTTTCATTTAAAAGTAGTACAATGTTACAGATCTTTTCCTAATTAAATAGTAATTTTGGCATGAATTTGAATGTTTATGAGATGACTTAATTTCCAAACCTTCCGTTCTCTCGTATTAATGCCAGAGTTTGGTAAGTCATTTGGTGGAATGTCTGAGGATCTCATCGTTGCAGGGCTCTGAACGGCTCGGTCTGCAACAAACTCGGCGCATCCCGGCACTGTACCTCCCGTCCTGCCTCCCCGAGGCTAGTCCAGTCCACACGAGTCAGGAGCTTCGCTGTTTGTAACTGCTGCCTTCCCGGCTGGTTTGTCTAATATACACACTGCTGGCTTGGAGTGCGACCAATGCTCAGCTGCCATCGAGACAAGTCGTGGTCTTTGGCCAGGAGCTAGGATCATCACTTGGGTGTCAGGAAATGATCCCCGTTGAATTGGACACCGCTTATCAATTATGCAGCCATAACCACCCAAAAAGATATACTACACTGGCCTTGACACAATGGGAAAGAACTATCTGTCCCTCTTACAGTAATTCCCTTCTGACAAATCCTCATTCTTTAGAACCACCAATCCTACAGGGAACTGCCACCAAAAAGGTGCATGCCCCTGCCTAGCAGTGCTAATGCTTAGAGTCCAGGTTAAAAACTACCCTCCCCACCCGCCAAATCGGGGAAAGCTTCCTGTGCAAAGATAATTCCTGCAGCACCTTTATTTCAGGAGATTGCTTGCCATTCTGGAATTCTGGAAATGGCTTAAATGTTCAACACGAGGGAAACATGAGGGAGACTGCAGTTCAGTCATGCAGTTGACAATTCTAATGACATTAAAAAGGATGGTATGTAACAATATGTCAGCAAGCTTATGATACAATGTTACATGAAAAAAAAAAAAACCACCTAAATCAGGTCACCCCTCCACTCAAGATTATAGCATTGCCGGAAGGAGAACACAGAGTCTAAACGGCTGAACGGAAACCCACCACAAGATCGTCAGGGGAATGCGAGCATAGTTCCAGAATCCCATTTGAGTAGAGCGCTGGCCCAGTTTCACAACGTGCCTGGGTAATCCACGAAAAGGGCACGGTGAGCCCAAACTCATGGGTCTCTACAGGAAAAAGAAATACGAGACGGCGGGAAAAGCTCTGATTAGAAGCAAACACAAGCTGGAGTGGCAGCGGGGAGCAGACCAGAAAGAGGCAGGCCAGAGGAAGAGGGAACTGCCGAGTGCACAGCAGAGAGCTGTGAACGAGATCCACCAGCCAAACCCACTGCTTGTCGGCACGTGGATTCTGACTCCGAGTGGCCGGTGAACTGCCCCGCAGGGTTCCCAAGGCCATAGAAGGCAGATCACTACATTCTTCTGCCCAGTGGATGGTGGGTTCGAACCCCCAATCTTACCCTTAGCAGTTAAGTGCTTTAACCACTGTGCTAGCAGGGCTTCTTTCCAAAGATCAGAGATCTGTAACACTCCCAACTTAAATGATTTGGGGGGCTGCATCACGCCCTCATTCCTTTAAGGCCTCGAGCCCTCAGGTAAGGCCAAAGATCTAGTGAGAGTGGTCTATGGGGGAATTCTTAGAAAGGGCCTAAGTTCCAAGCTGACTGATACAGTGGAGGGCAGAGATGGCACTAGGGACAGAGAAGTAAGCCATTGTTTGTCCTAAATTAAAGTGAAACGTAGAGTTGCAAGTAATGAGGGGGGACCGGGGGTGGTGTGGGAGGAGAGCAAGCAGATGCTCTCCACATTACTGAGGCCCCTAATTGTGCTCCTGCTCATTCTTACTTTCGGACCATGCATTTTAAATAGATTAATTACCTTTGTAAAAGAGCAAGTCAATACTGTACAACTAACGGTGCTGCGACAGCGGTATCAGGGGCTCGGCCGTGAATACAGTCTGGAAATGGAGGACAGGAACAACAGCCCAACTCACGAGCAAGAATGCTCCCTCGTAGGTGCAAGAAAAAGGGGGCTGTAAGGCAGCAGTGACTCCATGACAGGCTGAGCCTTTTAAACGGGCCTAAGTTTCTTTTTTTTTTTCTCTTTTCTCCAGCTTTAAGTTTCGTTTCTCTAACAGCCTTGAGTTTCACTCCCCTAACAAAGCCACCCTCTACCCGGAAATGACGCTGACCATACCTACCAAGGCCCAGTGATCACAATGGTGCTGACCATACCTGCCAAGGCCCAGTGATCACAATGGTGCTGACCATACCTGCCAAGGCCCAGTGATCACAATGGTGCTGACCGCACCTGGAAAAGTTCTGAGTGAACATAACTGGAACGTTCCAAGAGTGGAGGCAGTCAACCAACAAGACCTGCACAACCGACTGTCTCCAGATGAAGTCACTGAACTATGGGAGGGGGAGGGGGAGATAGTCTCACCCAGGGGGGATAGTTTCACCCAGTTTATGTAACCTGTAGAGAGTATAAAAGCTTGGCTTGTGCCCCAGGCCGGGGTCCTTGTCTTTGGTGACCACTGCATTGGTGCCTTAGCACTTGGGCCCGAGCTCGAGCTAGTCAATAAACTCCTTTGTTGTTTGCAGCCTCGGTGACTCTGCCTCTCTGTTCCTGGGGCCACGGGAAAGTCGGCAGTAACAAGATGTCATATCAGCACATAGCCGGAAATCCAAAGAAAATCTGGTTCTGGAGACTGGCCGCTGAAGACCTCAGAAAAAATCCAGGGTGTAGCAAAAATCTGCATTCATGCACCAGGCCTAGCTGTCCGAGGCAGGGCAATGGCTTTACTCATATTTCTTATACATTCTGGACCCCCATGTAAAATTTCTTTTATAAAGGGAGAGGGGAGTTCTATTGCTAATTCAAAAAAAATTTTTTTTTTTTTGAAGACCAATGGTCTCTAGGATCAGACATTGATAGAGGCCCGCTGAGTCTTGATTTGGGGCAAATGCTGTTCTTTTGCTCACACAGGTTTGATTGTTCCACAGTTGAGTCCCTACCTACTGTTACTTTACCAGCCTGCTTGAAAATGGGAGTGTGGGGAACAGAATGGGAAGAGGGGGTATGCAGACAAACTCTCAACACTCATATGTTAAGGAGGCTGGGAGGCCAAGGCTCCTGTGGAGGAAACCTTCACATTCGCCTATGAAAATGTGATTCCCCATGATGTCTTCCCATAATAAGGTCAAGCTTTAGATGCTGCTTGCAAACACATGGTCACTGACTATACACTTGGAGGTCAACTGCTTAAAGACTATCTACTTAAAGGTTAGCTGCCATTAAAGGCAATCAGACCCTACTGTCTGTCCCACCCTAAGTAGGGCCCACTCCCTTCTGATAAGGAAAACAGACTGTTCCCCTGAAAGAGGGCTCAAAGACACCTAAGGTCAAGCCAACTAAGGAATGACCAAGGTTAGGTGGCATCTTGACTCTAGAGCTCACCCATCTTGTTATGCCTCCCTGTCACATGTATGCCCCTAGTGCCTCCCCTTCCTATTGTGTGTATATCCCTAACTAGCCCCCTTCCTGTTACCTATGTGCTTACCGTGGCCTGCATGCCCCCTATCATAAAAACTCATGCGATTACATTCCTCGCTCTTTGCTCCGACTTAGCTCCTGAAGTCATGACTGAGAGGTGAGCCCTTGCATGCTCTATCTTTCTTATGTGTCTTTAGTTTACCCCTCAATTATACAACAGCCCCTTGGACCCCCACATGGGAGTCAGATACTCTTCGACAAGAGTCTTCAAAGTGGCCCTGCCTTAGATGAACTGGGAAACGAACAGACAAGAAGGGCGCTAACCAGACTTGGGGCTGCCCCTTAACTTCAGTGCTCCCAGCCTGCCACCATTAGGAGAGCAAATTGTCTATTTAAAGACATCATTTAAAATATAAAATTGCCTTTTCCCAAATTGCCTACACTTTTTACAACCACAGCTTTCCCTACTGATGAATGATATAGTGAGTGACCAGCTCTCCTTTCAAGGAAGAAACATCCAAATGTCACCACACATTGGCTATAAAAGCAAGAGAATGAATTCCTGTTTCAGAACCATTTGTGAGGATTAAAATACCATTTTTCAGTAAACTGTATAAATAAGCATTTTAGTCAAACAAAGTTTGTCATTATTGGTTTGTTTACATTACGGGGTGGGGGGGGGTGCGGGGGTGGGAGACTAGGGCATTATTCCAAGTGTTGGGTATACCGTAGCTCACCTTGAGAGAAATGGTTAACTAGGCCAGAAATCTTCTCCGTCTCGCTGTCTTGCTTCTGGTCTCGTGAGAAGAAGGAAGACTTTTCAGACCCGTCACAGTCTGACAACGCTCGAGAGGCTGAAGGCTCGGGCGATTCCGGTAGAATATGCTGGTAGGTGATGGCATCTTCGGCAGGCCTTAATTGTTGAGAACGTAAGATCAGTGATTTCCCGTGCCCAAATCCCAAACCAGCGTGATGACTTAAAATTACTTGCCCTTTAGAATTCCTCCATATTTGCAATTTCAGTCTTCTTTTTTTCTAGTTTCCCAAAATCAAGTTAGTAAGGAACCTCAGAAAACAGAAGGGGGCCTAGTGGGCTTGACGGCATCAAAGCAGACAGGGCAGGAGAGGACTAGGCCCCTTCCACCGAATGCCTTCTAGGAAATAGCCACAAAAGGGGTCAGAGGCAGCTGTTTGCCCAGTGCCTACTCTGGGAGGGCATGTCAGAGGCATCATCTCCTCTGGGCCTCAGCGCCGGCCCTCAGCACAGGGCTCATGATGATCCTCATAGGCGGCTCACTACAGACTTTCCCACTGCCTCCCCGGTTGCCAGCGGCACAGGTGAAATGGGAACCCACATCAGTCTGGTTCCAAAGCCCCAAAGCAGTGTGGAAGGTACCGCCCCAGCCCCTGAATTGGCCTTAAGGGTTTGACAATCTTATACCCACTCTTGGTCCCAAAGCAGGTCTCAGTATCATCACTCTGGCCATCCTCTGGTTATTAACCTGTATTTCTCAAGGGCCACCTAAGCCATGAGGAAAAACCACCTGAAGTCTGTGAAAAGCCCATGTGAACCTCCATTATAGATAAGCGCCTTAATTTAAGCTCTGTTTTTCCTATTCTTCTCAGTGGCCACAGTCTCATTACTCATAAGCTCAGACAAGAGCAAAGACTCCGAAGCTGCAGTGCATTCATTAACAGGTAAACACCAGATGCAGCTTCGCCTGGACAGTGTGATGGATGCGCCGGCTGGCTGCTGGCTTGCAAAAGTGCAGAATGGGCCAAGGGCACCCATTTAATTAGCTTAGGCATGACCCATGTTGAGTGGGAAGCCTACAGCTGGAAAAGGCAGAACACAAGAAAAATATACAAATCTGTCAGAAACGGAAAGGGGTGGCATGCAGGTTGAGGAGGGCTAAAAGGGGCCCCTTGCCACCTCCAACCCATTCTCCACAGCAACCACAGGAGGGCCCGAATGGCAACTCTGACCATGCGCAGCCCCAGCTGAACCACCTCCACAGACTCCCCTCTTCCAGTAGAATCGAGGTGGAGCTCCGACCACGGCACTTGTGGACGTCTCAGTGAAGTCCTACAAGCCTCTCTAGCTGGGACTGGAGGCCACTGAGTCCATTCCAACTGCACACCCAGAGTCCTCGGGTCTCCAAAGCGTGGACACCCCAAGCACAGATGTTCTTCCAACAGCCCTTGTCCCCTCCAGCCCTCATCCTTCAGATCGCAGCTAAGACAGTTCTCCCTTTGGGAAGCCTTCCTGCCCTTGCCAGCCTTCCAATGAGATGTGAACTCTTTTTATAGGGACAAAAGCAGAGGCCTGAACCACAGGGGAACCGGGAACGACTGCCATGGTAGAGGAGCACTGTAACCTTCTTGTAACCTTCGAGAAGCCTCGGCTGAAGGCCCTCCAGTGAACGCAGCTTTTGATCTCTCCTGGCCTCTTCTGTCACCTTCATGTTATCAATCAACTCTTAACATTCTGTACCCTAGATTGGCTCTATTTCTTCATAGTGGCCCCAGGAGAAAAGGCTCCAGACAGGGAAAATACCCCAAGCACTAACAGCATTCCGACACTCTGACAAGTAAACAGAAGAGGGCAAGACCTTGACATTTCCAGCTGGCCAGAGAAGCAAGCTGAGAGAGCAACCAATTCACTTAGTCCAAGCACACTTTCTGAACCCCACTCACACCCAGCACCTGGTGCTAAAGCAGGCAGGGGTCATTGGAGACTTTTTGCACACAAGGGCAATAAGAGCACAGGTGTTAAGAATCCCAGACCCACCCCTCAAGGGCAAGTACACAGCCCTCAAGGAAGGGTGGGCAGTCATTTATGCGAATACCTAGGGCAGTGGCTGACACACTGCAAGACCCAGTTCATGCTTTCTCCTTTCTCCTCTCTTACGGGATTCTCAAGTGAGTGGGAAGAAAAGGCAGAAATATGACAACACCACGTGGTACGACTGCAATGTAACTACTGGCCAAGGGCTTCCAGCAAGGATAATCCGCCTTGAGGTGTGGTGGAGAGATGGTGGTGTAGGGGAAAGCAAGGAAGGTCATTACCAGTCTGTGTAAACTGGTCCTGAAGACTGATTCTCACCACAAAGAGGCTGCGGGTAGAATGATCAGCTGGTGCACAGGCACGGTTGGAAAGCCCACTGAGGCTGAGCATGATGGAAAGGAAGGGGCAGCTAGCTTCAAGCCCGGAGAAGAGTTTGAACAAGCTGGGCTTGATTGAGTCTGAGATAAGTTACCCCACAGAAGCCAACAGAAGAAGAGTGTTCTATGGACCAAATCACCTGGCAGACAAGTAATCTGGCCTGAATGCGGGATGCTGCCGCACACACGAGTGAGCATGCGCTCTGGGTTTTGGCTGGCCGTTAGCAATTCCATAGGTGTCAGGGCATCACTTCTAAGAATGGGAGGGAGCCAGGATACTCAAACAGCTGGTAGGCAAAGCAAATCCCCCATGCCCCAGAGAGTCTTCTTAACAAATGGTACACACTCACCTGTCAATCAGCTCATTCTGGGTGCACACTTCCACCTCCGTGGATTTTCCTGGGAGCAGAGGCAATATCGAGAAGAGAAAAGAAGAAACACAATTTTTTTAAATCCTCCCTAACAATTTCTTGCTCATATATTTGCAGAGGTCCTGTTCCTCTTCTTTAAAAACTATTTCTCACAACCTCGGCTATTTCAAGGAGGACAGACCAAGGATACACTTGTGACTGCAGACGCCCTCCTCATGCCCAGGCACTCGCTGGGGGAGAGACAGCAGTGTGTCCAGAACGCAGTGACAAAGCCAGTGCGAGCCAGCGTTCCTTTTTCCTTCTCTCCAACTCTGATAGGAGCGGAACACGTGCTCCTCGTAGGAAACGGGTGCCTGGATCAAGAAGAGAACGCCATCCTGCAGGTGCGCACTGCACGCAGCCGCCGGGTTTCACGCTGGTGCTTTTGCGAGGTGTTTGGGCCCCGTCAATGCAGCATTGTGACTGCTGCTAGCGGCGTTCCTCTGGCCACATTTGCTTTAGAAGCCTCACTTGTAATGCCTGCATTAATATTCCATGGTAGACATGTGTACGGTTTTTACTCAGTTCCCTATTTGACATTTACGCTATCTCCCAAATTTCCCTTTTATAAATAAATCAAATAAACATCTTTGTGCACGCAGCTTTATCTACATTTGAATTATTTCCTCGCAAAGACTCCCAGTAGTGGGATCACTGGGGAAAGGAGTCAGTCGGTGGAGATGAAAGAGCCACTGTCTACAGCAAGAGGGAATGACTAAAGGCAATGACAAAAAGAAAAAAAAATAAAGCCCAAAATGTGGCTGGGCCAAAAAGGAAAAGAAATGTCTGCTCTCTTCCTGCATGTCATCATTTGCCATTGGAAAAGAAGCACATGAGCCCAGGATTTCAAAGGGACTAACAACTTTATTTTTAAAACACTTCAGAACTCTGGAAATTGCAGACTGGGATGAACTCTTTGAAGCAGCCAACGCATGGCTGAAGGAAAAAAAACAAAACCCAAACCTTCTATAGCTGTACTTGAAAATGAGACTATAATTAAACTGCACCCACACATACAATTTTCAAAACGACTCCTAAAAGGAAAAGTTCTCCAGCCCCCAGCCCGGAGGAGCGGATCGTGGAGCCGCGGGCTTGCTTTCTGTCCTGCGGCCCCATCAACAAATCTGGTGCAGGCCGTCTAGACTCCCCGTCCACCCAACCAGGTGGGCCACCTGCGCCGCGAGCATCAGTGCGTCTGAAAGAGAGCTTGAAAATCCCCAGCTGGGCAGGGAGTGGGACTGGGCCAGCCAGGCCTCACACACCCACTGGGCCAGCACCAGCGAAAGCTCCGCACGTTTCATGTTTCCATACCCTCCACACTCGCCCAGGCCAGACTCACGTCCACGCTCGCTACTGCACGTCACGGTGAAGCAAGGGAGATCTATGCCCTGATCCTTTCAGGTCTATGGCACACAAGGAGAGATTGATAAGACTCAATCGCAGCCGATGCCCCTTCATGTTTCTCTTCAAGAGGGGCAGGGTGTGTGCTCAACTGACTGGGTCAGATCCCAAGACCCTTAGGAAGGGGCCAGGAGACTGGCACACAGAAAGAGCAGCAACGTGGGCCTTTTTCCTCCCACACATGCACTAGAGTTGATGGGAGGACTTTGGCCCAATAGCCACCCACTGCCATCGAGTTAATGCTGACTTCTAACAATCCTACAGGACTAGTGCCCCACAGGTTCCTGAAACGGTGTATCTTCATAAGCTACACAGCCTTGCTCTCCAGCAGAGTGGCTGATGGGTCTAAACCACCTACCCTGCCCAACCTTTAACCCGCTGTGCCAACGGGGCGCCTGCTCTAGCCCAGCCTCCTGAGGGTCTGTAGGGGTTACACACGGTTATACACAGGCAAACAGTGCCGTGGCTTGCTCTTCACACTGTCCATTCTTTCCTAGGAGCCAATCAGGACCAGCCCAGGGCAGGGAACTCTTCTTGGCTTCAGGCAGGCTGTATGCTAAATGTCTGGGTCTCCTGTCCACAGACACGTCTTAAGACCACCCAAATTCCTAACAAAATCCCTGACCACAGAAATAAGGGCCTTGATGCCACCAGCTGCTTGGGGGTCCCCTTCTTCCAGTAAGAGACCCTCTGGGGCTCTTACAATAACCCAGCAACACTTGTCTTCCAGCCATTCCCCTCCACAACAGAGCTCTCTGAAACCAAATGGCAGATTGCGATGGTGGGAGCCCCAGGAAGAGCATTACAGCGGATGCATGGGGACTTCTGGGTGGAAACTGCCTTCACACAGGTGACAGCGGACCATCTGCCGGACAATTCCCAAAGCTCAGAATGCGGGTCATGAGATCACTGCTCCCATCTCTCAAGTAAGGCTGTGGCTATACCTAAAAGGCACATGGTATATTCTATGGCAGGCAAAATGGGGCTTTTATCTTTTTAAATATTAAGCATCAATGGGGCTAGGCATTGGGCTGCCAACAGCAAGGTCAGCCATTCAACAGCCACCCAGTGTGAGAAAGATGAGGCTTTCTACTCAACTCACAGCCTCAGAAACAGAGACAGCTCTACTTTGCCCTCCAGGGTCGCTGTGAGTGGGGGTCAGTCGAGTGTGAGAGGAGGAGGTAGTGGTGGTATGTGGGAAACAGAAAGGTTATTCCCCAGATTATCCCCCCATATTATATGCCAGACCCAAGATACTGCTTCCTAACATAATGCCTGGTCAATGACCATACACTTGTTTGGAGGTCATTGGTTATCTCTCTGAGGGTTATCAGCTATCTAGAGCAATCAGACCCTATAATCTGTCCCACCCTAAGTAGGGGCCACTCCCTTCTGATAAGGAAAATAGATTGTTCCCTGAAGTAGAGTCCAAAGATACCTACGTGAAGCCAACTCAGGGACGACCAAGGTTAGGCTGCCATCTTGACTCCAGAGCCCTCCCATCCTGTCACTTGTTTGCCCCTAGTGCCTCCCCTTTCTACTGTGTGTATACCCCTAGCTCATCCCTTCCTGTGGCATGTATGCTTATTGTACAAGCCCGTCCTGTTGCATATGTGATTACCTGTAATTAGGAGGGCTTGCACATCCCCTGGGTGCATATAAGCCTTGGTTGGAAATATATTCTCTCTCTGTGCGTGGACCTGGCTGCTGAGATCACAGCCATTCTGGAGGTGAGCAAATGCATGCTTTACCTTGTCTGATGTCTCTAATTTTACCCCTCAATTACACAACCGCCGCTTGGATCCACTGGATTGTGAGACAGTTTAGAGGCGGCAGCAACTGAGCCGTATCTCATGGCAGGAAAGAACTGCTTTATGACTGGAAGCAACCGAGAGGTTATGCGGAGAGCAGATTCCAGATTCCTCAGCTGAGCTGACGGCCTGGCTCACCTTGCCATCCACAACTTGCACACCCCATACCGGCTAATAAAATATCGTTTCCCAACAACTATGAATCTTCTTATATGAAAGTTTGAGTCTGACACCTCTTCCCCCTGGAAGCCTTCCCTTCAGAGCTCAGCCCCCCTCCCCTCTTCCTTCATCCAAACCCCTAAAAGCTCATGCAGTAGGAGCCACACACAGTCAGAGGACATTTAAGCAAAGCAGGCCCTTGATCTTGCCTAAAGTTCACATCACAGTAGCCGTCATTGCTGCCATCAAATCCTGACTGGGCGCTTTCCTAGGTGGGGAAGCAAGGACAAGACAAGGCCCAGCATCTTCCAGGATCATGTGCTCTGCAAACATAAAGTGAAGAAAGAATGGCTATCATGCGGAGTCCCTACTGCTTGCCAGCAGGACCCCAAAGGCTTCAAACAATCTCTCTCTATCCTCCCAAACAAGCCAGGTAAGCATTCTGAGCCCGGGGCGGGCGCTAAGTGAGCCGCAGAGCTGGGACTTGAACCCAAGTTAGCCCGGCTCCTGTATGTCTGTTTGTTACCCTCCTGCGTGTCACAGGCAAGACAGAAACAACCCAGAAGAGTACAGATGAGGAAGCAACGTGCTCCTGGTTGGTGTGATGGATCAAAGTTCTGTCAGTGGCGAGGAAGTAAAAGCTTCCAGAGAAGGGCCTAGCCTGAACAGTCACAGAAGTGGAAAAATGCAAGGCCTGGCTCACACAAGAGCTGGACTAGAGCACCCAACAGGTAGGAGCATGAGAAGCAAGGTATCATGGTAGTGATACCTTCAGGTTCTGGAATCAAACTGCCCAGTAGCGTCCAGACTCTGCTACTTCCTCCATGTCCTTCAGCAAGTGACTTGGCCTTACTGCTCTTCATCCATCTACTGGGAACATAGAGATACATCCACCGAGGCCGAGTCCAATGCCTGGCACATACAGTCAGCACTAGAAAAAGAACAGCTTTTCTCATCATCATGGAGAGCGCCCAGTGGCCCAGAAAGGGCGAGCTTTGGAAGACCTTGAACAGAAATTCAGTTTTCTCCCACTCTCTCCAGGACTTTCTAGTGCAAACCCTTACAAAGCAGTTGGAAGTGGTGCTGGGGACCCTCTAGTAATTCTGGTCTCAGAGCTGTGGAGGCTGATGGTTTGTGTGGTCCATCCTCACTCATCACTGCCATTGAAGCGAGGCTGGCTCAGAGTGACACGATAGGACAGGGTAGACCTGCCCCTGTGAGTTTCCAAGGCTCCAGAAAAGAAAGCCCCGTCTTTCTCCCAAGGAGCAGTTAGTGGTTTTGAACTGCCAGCCTTTTGGATTACAACACAATGCATAACCACCATGCCACCAGGGTTCCTGTCTAGCCCATCAGTCCTTGACTAATTGCTTCTATGTGTCTTCAATTGTCTTTACTCTTCTTTCCTCCGGACAGGTAGAGACCAATAGTCACACCTCAGAGGCTCGCAAGCTTTTATGAGCCTCCTCATTAAAAAAAAAAAGAAAAAAGATCTAGGGCATCCTCTCAAGGGACATTTGATGCTAACTGCCCTTGGTCCTGGGCTCCAAGGCCCAGCACCTCCTTCCCCCAAGGCGTTTGCTTGTGTCTTGGACTTTTTCATAGCTTTGCCCCCTGGATG